TCTTAAATATATACAAGCATGTGTGTTTATTTATATATATATATATATATATATATATATATATAAAATAATTATACACAGTGCACCCACATATATTATGTAAACACAAACTTTTATTTTGGATGCGATTAATCGTGATTAATCGTTTGACAGCCCTAACATGAGATGTAGCAAAACTTGAATGCGGTAAAATGTTTGTAGTAAATCTGAAATATAGTAAATTACTTAACATGTAAAGCTGGAAAATGGTAAAATATAGGCTACTTCATATGTGATAAAGCTGTATTTGGTGAAATGCTTGATGTAATAAAGTAAAACACTTAACATGTAAAGCTGGTAGATGCTAAAATACTCGATGTAGCAAAGCCAAAATATTGTAATACTGAGATCCATGGAGATATGGTAAAATATGATGGTAGTGTAGCAAAGCTAACATATGCTAAGATGCAACAATATCGGACCTATTCTTGACATACAGTATATTAAAGCAGAAATATGGTAAAATGCTTGATGTGTTAGTGTAAAAGGCTTGATTTAGAGCTGGAATATGATGTATTCAGATGTAATGAAGCACAAATATTGCAGGCCTAACACAACACAACCCCTTATTTTCCCCTTGTCACACACACACGAATGAGTTTGTGCTGATCTTTATTTGTTTGTTTGCTGTCACATCTATCAAACGCTGCTGATTAATTGGATTCAGTTGCAAAAGTTTGGCCTTGGCGTTCCATTACAGCCATGTTCAGCCCACCCACTTCCACCTGTCTCTATTACTTTCTCCCGCGATACAGTTGCTGTCACCGCCGCTGATGTGTGGAAACAATATTGATCCACAGCCGGGGAGGCGGCGGCCCGAACAGACACTTTATTGCTTTCTATTAATGATGCGTTTCATGGCCGATGGTACAAGCTCTTGCGAGGTGAACAAAGACCCAGGGCAAGAAGACTGTCACGGGGATTTGTACTGTACATATCGCAGATGTTTTATTCAGTCTGGGCTTGGGAGTGCTTCAGAATAAATGAAAGTTAATGTACTTTGGGGTGTCATGGACTCCTGTGTGAATGCTTGGCTTTTGCTTGCAAAAGGTTTTCTCATCTCGGACAATGCAGAGTTTCAGATAAGTGGCAATTCTCTGCGATGGAAAACTAATCTTAGTCGAGGTCTAATGCACTAGGTGCTTTCTTTATATTCTTCCTGTGAAGAATCTGTAACTAAAGTTTTGGGTTGAGGTCCAGACAAGACTGTCCCAAATCATTATGATCATTGCTTATACTTTGGGTTAGTCATTTGAACAAACCCCTAACTGTGCACTACTGGTCAAAATGTGATTTTTTGCAAAAGAAGTCTCTTTGCTCACCAACGCTGCATTTATTTGATCAAGAAAATCACTAAAAATAGTAATTTTGTGAAATATTATTACAATTTAACCTCTTAACTGTCACCCCCCCCTTTTTTGAATAGACATGTAAATGCACATTTCCTTCTTAAATGGTTGTAATTCAAGAATGCTTTGGAATATAGATGTAAGATTGGTCTCATTTTAAAGAAGACATTTGAATGTCGAAGTTAAATGAATTAAGAAAGTGAAACAGAAAAAAAGTAGTATGTACAATGTAAAAACATTAATTATTCATATATATATATATATTCAAAATCTGGGCTACTCTAAAACTGCAGAAAAATCAAAGCCAAAAATCTGAACAAGTTGTGTTTAAAACTTTTGGTTGATATCTCAAAAAAATTAGCTTTCTGTGAGATTTTGTTGGGCGCAGTACCGAACGCTTCCACTAGGGCACAACCAGACTCCATATAAGAGCGCCTCCGTTTCCATATGTGTTTTGAGTGATATGAACCATTATTTACACAATTTTCAATTCATGCAATATATGGAATATTTAAAACATTTTCAGGCTTTTTTTTCTAAAATAATTGAACGTATGCAATCTTTTGAACTCTTGGCATGAAAACAAACTGAGGTTTCTACCTTTTTTCATGTACATTGCTATTTCAAAATAAAAGTCTGAACACACTTTATGAGTATGAAAATATTCTTGTTGCAAATTGGTAAATAACGGCTCCTGTGTAATTTATTTTGAAAATCAGTCACCAAATTGTAATCTTTCAAATGATATATGGTTTGTCAATATTACAGTCTTTTCTAAGATATAAATATAATGGCAAGCGTCCAGTTAAGGCATGACAGTTAAGGGGTTAAAATAACTATTTTCTAATTGATTATATTTTAATATTTTAATTTATTTATTTATTTTCAACATTGATAATAGTAATAAATGATTCTTGAGCACCAAATCAGCAATAGATGCAGTAAATACATATTTTGCACAGACAAACACCACACATTTTATTCAGAAAATGTTTCATCCCTTGACTTTTCTATGGGTTGCTCCCGGTTGTAAAGAAACACAATTACGAAATGTCACTTCTGTGCAAACATCGAGGTTCACGAGTCACACAACTCTGATAATTGAAAGTTTGGATGTAGCCTGAGTCTCGGCTCTCAAACCATAGCCTGAGCTCAGAGACCGTCCGGATTGTGAAAGCTGACATTTGTGGTTTCCGTCTGAATCATTGATCAGAGATTACTTCCACATCTGTGGTCTCCTGAGAGATGTGCCTGTAGTTCAACATGACCGTATTGTTTTTCTGAGACACGCTAAGTACTGTAAGCAAGGCATTTGAAGATGGAATTAGCCTCTTTTCTTTCCGTTTTTGTAATGAGACTCATTAGACAATCAGGGAAAAAAATAACAAAGGTCTTAAATTTAGCTCCAGTGCCATGGCCATATGATTACATTTGCTGAACGTGTGGTCTTATCTTCTGTCTCGCAGGAAACCCGAGTTGGATGTGTAAATGTGAGGAGAACTACAGGGTTGACTGGTTCAGGACATGGCCATTTCTCTCCTGCTTTTAATCTGTTTAGGGAAAGCTGTCTGAATGTTTAGACAGCAGCAGGATTTGAGAGAAAGAGAACAAATTACAAACATTACCAACATGGGTAAAATACATTAAATGCAGTAAAGCGAGAATATGGTGAAACAGATATACATGTTAAAAAGCGGCCTTGATGTGTATAGTGTATTTAAAATTGTACATTTATATTAGTGCTGTCAAACGATTAATCGCATCAATGTCATGTCATAGTAACTCAAGATTAATCACGTATCTATTTTAAATGTCTCTTGATTTCTTTTTGTCCCATTATTTTTTCTCATTTTAATGTTCTTATCAAGATGGAAAAGTGGATCGGCTTGCTTTGTGCAAATATTTTTATTGAAATATTTTTTTATGTACTAAATTGCTGCTTCTTCATTAAAAATGTCTATTTACAAATATTTTTAAATGCATACACGTTTGACATATGACATTTAAGATATATTTTAGCTTACCATAATTGCTAACCATAATTTAAGGATATAGAAATAAATATGAAATTGCTAACGCTATCTCACGACCAGTTCGTACGAATTTGTATGCGTGATTAAAAGGTGGCTAATTCGTACGAATTCGTATGACCTCATTCGTACGAATTTGTACGATTTGTCTAAACCCACGTGATGGATAGGTTTTGGGGTGGGGTCAGGGGTCAAAAATCGTACTAATTCGTACAAGTGAGGTTGTACGAATTGTTAGGAATTAGCCACCTCGTAAAATTCGTAAGAATTGCCGTGTGATCGGTTTGGAAATTGCATAATTATAATCCAATTTTATTAGATTTTAAATGTACATGCAATTAAGGGGCAGCTTACACGACACCGTTTTCAACTAAAACGTAAACCATAGTATGCGTTTTCGCCGTTCGTTTACACGACACCGGCGTTTTGAGTGCCTGAAAACGCTAACTTTTGAAAACGGGTTTCAAATTGCACGTTTTCTACAAGAAACTCAACAAAACTCAAATCTCTGAAGACGATGTGCATTACGTGTTCATAAGTGTGTGAAAAAAATGAAATTACATTTGCACTTTGACAGAGAATTTTCTGTAGATAGTGTTCTTTATAAAAGTATGCTAAAGTGTAATTCTTATTCACAAGGTAAATTCATAAAGCTTGAACATTCATTTGTAGTCAAAGACAGCTGCTGTACAGCTCGATTGAAATACTTGAGTCAGTTTTACGCTTTTATATTTTAAAAGGGCAGTTAGTGACAAATAGCCGTGTTTAAAGATAGAGTCGGTGTTGCTTGTTGAAATAGTCGTGCTGTACTTGCCGTTTAGAGCCTCCGTGTGCCTCTAAAAATGTGCCGCATAAAAGTGAATGAGGACACGGTTTGGTGCCAGAGTGTTAATGTGGATGGAAATAACCTCATCCGCACAGTTAGAAACAGCCCTGTAAAATGCTCAATCACGCAAATCAACACGTTTTTTAAGAAGTGATTGACTGTTTCAAAGTGCTTACCACCTAAAATTCAAGAGAGTAATTACATTGCACAAGCATAAAGTTTGGGAGATGGCCAAGGGCAGTTTAAGGAATATTGCAATATTGTTTTTTGCTTCAAAAGCTGTTGCATTGTCATTTATGCATATTTAGACTAGGGAAGCTGTCTGTTTTTATTTTATATTTTTTACTTTTAATAGCATGGCATATCCTCAAATCAAGTATTGGATATCAGTATGCAACAAAAAGAAAAAATTACAACAAATAATGAGTCGCATTTGTGTGTTTTTTTTCCTCAATTTAAGACTTTGAAATCCTCAACTCAACCTCATTTGGGGGAAGTAATGGAAACGAAGCGCTCAGCTTCTGTATTTTATTGTGTGCTTTGGAAGGTTTCTTTGGAGCAGTCCCAGATTTTAAGAGATTGAAAGTTTTATGAAGCTTGGCTAGTCGTGCACGTTTCTGTACCCATGATCCTGCAGAGACCCCAAACTGTTACCTAATTGAAACTGTGCTAGTTTTCCAGTAATCCCAACAGCAAATCCCAATTAACTTTTCTCATGATCAGCACTGATTCTCATCCTCTTATCTCTCTGAACAGGTTTGCCCAATCAAACCCAAACCATGGGAATCGCCCTCTGTGTTTAACCCGACCCAAAGAGAGAAATGTAATCCCCAAAAATGACCACTGAGCCTCTTGAAGAATAAGGAATAGAAGAGGAGATGAATGGAGCAGCCGCCCACTCAGCGAGACAGAGCGTGAGTGAAGGTCGATCTTATTGTTCTCCCCCCCGTGGCAAACATTGTGACTAATAACAAAGTGAGGCAAGATGAGTGGCAGTATCTGGGCTGCGTTGCTCTTTCTGTGCATGTGCTTGGAGCTCGGGGAAAGTAGTGCTCGTCTGAGAACATGGAAAAGCGAGGAGCATTCGCAAACTGCAAGGGAATACAGTCAGGTAGAAAGTCTAGACGTGGAGGAAAGGCAAAGCGAGATGTCGCTTGCCAACAAAGCAGGAACGCCAAGCTTGAGATTAGCACATAAAAATGAGGATAATTTGCCAAAAAGCAACAAAGACGGCGCTATTGACTCTGTATTAGGATTGCATCACACACAAATTGAAGAAAGTGCAAAAACTGGATTTAAAATCACATTGACTCCTGTTTTGATGTCTGATGCAAGTGTGAACACAGATTCTACTCCACATATTCTGAATCAATTTGATCCCAATTCCAAAGAGATCCCAGAAATCCCTAAGACAACAGTATCAACTCTTGATCAGAACTCCAAAAGATCTCAAGATCGCTTCGTTCCCGCTGCAGTAGCGGAAACTGAAACTGATCCCGGTGAAATAGGACCTGGCAGATCTGACGCCAGCGTGATCCTCCTGAAGCCTCCTTCTGGGTTAAAAAACAGCACACAGGAAGTACAGACTATAATGATTGGCAGCCAAGATGCAGAGAGCAGTGGTGATTTCCACAGGACCTTTCCTGGACCAAATCTGGATGAGATGCCCTCACAATCCCGGAGCCGGAGAAGCTGGATATGGAACCAGTTTTTTGTGATAGAGGAATATAGTGGACCGGAACCGGTGCTGATTGGACGGGTAAGGTGAACAGTTTGGTTGTTATGCTTGCTTGCTAATTTAGAATGAAACGGTGTTTGCAACTAATTGTACTTCTTCAATGCGACATATTGAGTGAAACATGACATCAGTGTGAAAAATAAAAGGGTTTGGTGGCATAAGCCAATGAGAAAAGTAGATCCAGACCGATTTATCCCCCAGAAACAGTCCCACTGACCCATCCCCAAACCCCATCTCTGCTAAAGTAATTCTTCCTGTATTAATGTTCACCTGTAGCCTAAATGGGTGCCATTCAGACCTTAACATTAAGTCTTTTACTGTTATATGTCAACAAGATTCAAAAAAACAATTTAACCTGCTATACTAGATCTGTTTGGATAATTATGCAAATTAGCACAAGTAATTAGATTATGCACCATTTGTCCATGTTAAACATTTGCAAAAAACTTGTAATACATTTTTTGTTTGTCTTGATGTAAGCAATCAACTCAGTGATTTTCATGATGATGTCTAAAGGTTAGAATTTTTAGACTTTTCATGTGAGAAAACGAATTAATAGGCGAATGAATGGGATATATTTGGGTCTTTTTCTAAACTTTCCCCTAATGGGATTCTTGAGTTTGCTTCTGTTGCAATTTGTTCAAGGTTGACCCCCATTTTGGCTTAAAATGACTGGACTACAAGGGTAACTTAGCACTTTGTCTCAATGCATTATCATATTATTTTATTTAAATCTCATAAATAACTACAAATAACTAATGTTAGGGAAATCTATTAATGTTTTGTGTGTTTCTAAAAAAAAAAAAAATATCGGCCGATATATCGGATTTTAAAAACAAGTATCGGTATCAGCCTTCAAAATCCTTTGTCGGCCGGGCTCTAGAGAAAAGTCTTTTCTTAAGAGGTTTAGGTAGAAATTGTGATTACAAATGCATAGTTCACTCAAACTTATAATTTCTGGACATCCCTATGTTGTTCCAAGCCTGAGAAGATATTTTTGAAAAACATTTTTTATTGCCCAAGAAAATTGTGGCCATTGCCATGTAGGTTTTGAATGACTCGAGGGTAGAAAAATAATGACACAATTCTCATCCCTTTAAAGTTCTGTCGATTTTATTTTTTTTTTTTTTTTCAATATTTTAATCTTCAAACATGGTAACACTATCCTTGTTGCTAAGCAGGTCAATTTGGGAGGTTCTTTTATATAAATCAAGGCTATTGCATTGCCTCAGAGTTTGTTAACCGCAGGATTTTGACAGTAATTATGAGATGTCACCAGAAAAAAACTGCAAAACGCAATTACATGCTCGGTGGTCACATTTAGTAACACATGCACTAAAAAACACAGATGCTCACACACACGCTCTGCGGTAATAAGCTGCGCTGTATAGGTTGCATTAGCTGCGATTCACACTGAGTAAGTTTGCCAGCTGCTTATACAGAACTGAAAGCTTTAAAGAGTCTGGCACTAAACCAACACGAGATCAAGAGAGCGCACCTCATAAATGTTGCATTCGCTTCTCTGGCTGTCCCTGTGCTGACACTGTATCCTAGTAAATGTTTATCTGATGGGCCAGGACACGCTGTTGTCACTGTTGTTGTTCGTCACGATGCACCGTTTACCTGTTTACGATCCGGAGAACTGCATTGTGAATCAGTTATGGCTGAACGGAGGGCAGCTGTCTCAGAGAAAACACTGAAGTTGACCATTCCACTGCTGAGAGTCGAAACACAAGCACTGACTTTGATGTATGAACTAGGAACTTTCCTATTGGATTTGTAGTAAAAGCAATTGAATCGGTGGATTGTTCGACGTGACATAGGCTGTGTTAAATGCCATGCAATTTAAAAGGCTTTTAGGAGGCGTTTGCATTAGGGAGGGGCATTCGATTCAATTTTCTTAGTCGATCGTCGATTAATCGTTAATATTTTTATGTTCAAATTTATTATATTTCACTTTTTATAAATAAAAAACGCAATGAAAATACAACAATAAAGCGTGTTTTTCCTCGATTAGATCTTTATTACAAGATGATCGACTTGTGGCAGTTAAACTGGGCGTTTGGTTAGGCTAATTTTGAAGATGTATACCATCCTCTTTTTCCGCCTATGTTCGGCCGTCGATGTCCGGGATTCAGCTTTTGCTTTCTGCAGTCGCCATTCATTGTTTACATGCACAGCTTTTGTTTTAATCTAACTGAATTTACTCCGATTGGTGAATCTGAATGTAGTGTTCACATGAACGCTAAACAAGTGATCGATTGATGTGCGTTTTAACATTGCTAAGAAAATTCCCGCTCCTCCGTGAGAGATACGAGACCGGTGCGTCTCACAGGTGTCGCTCATCGGTAATCACGCCACCCTCACTCGTCCCGCTCGCCAAAGTAAACATGATGAATGGCGACTGTAGAACGTAAAAGCCGAATCCCGGACATTTTGGTTGATCTTGAAACACATTTTTGGGCAGACTCATCACGGAGACTCACTAGTAGCCTAGACTTGTTGTTTATTTACTGTGCTCTGTTACCGGTAGGCGTGGCCTCCTAGGGCAGCGAAGCACGTGCATTCTGGGAGTTGTTGTCTTTCATCCACATAAGCCAAAAAATACATTTTCTGGCTTTTCTCAGTCTAGAAAGCTCCAAATTCAAAAATAATTTCACATTTCTTCTACATAAATGACCCATTTTAAATACACATTCATCTTTCCAGAGGTGGAATGACCCTTTAACGGTAGTTAGTATATCATCAGTTGTGCGAGTTTGCCGCTATCTGTTTGTCCAATCGATACAAGCTTTGCAGAGAATAACACACTTCACCTTTAAGAGATTCATACCCATCACTGCCTTTTGCTCTACAAACACAAAGAGGCCACTGAGGTCCATTTAGATGTTATAATATTCTTCAAGAGTAGAGACGCATATTAGAAGCATCTATCCAGTATTTTATTTTCACAAGGACCTCAAGGTCTGTATTTATTATTGAGAAGTTGAGTGTGCACATTTGTGCGTGCATGTGTTTAGGTATTTATGTGATGTGTGCATTTTGCCTTCTTTGAACCCATTAGTGGATGAATCACGCATAGGAGAGGAGTGCGTGTGGTGTTTCTGAAAGAGCATATCTGGACTCTGTAGAATCAAAAAGAGGAAAAATCGGGTAGATCAAGGAGACGAGTGCACAATGAAAGAAAATGAGAAGCGGGAGGGGCTTTTCCTGCTGGGAAACTCTTGAGAGATCATTTCCCAAATTTCATTCTTTTTTTACCATCTCTTTTTTTTTAGCTGTCTCTAAATTTGTTTTGTTTTTTATGGATTGGATTCATTTAATTCCCACAGTGAAACATTTTGGTGTACAGATGACTGCAGTGGAGCAATTAAAGCACAAATCTGAGAGCAGATGATTAGGAGATTTATATAACAGATTTGAGAGGAGGTGAAAAAACTGAGAAAATGGGATGCGGAAATACAGATTGAGGATAAAGATGGTGTCTCAAATCACATGCTTCTGCTGTACTAGAGATTCTCTATTTTGCTCTACAAACTGAGGGAAAATGGCTTCGGTTTATTTGATTGTGCAGCATTGTCCAGTATTTGTAAAGCCATCGTACACCAGATATGGTAGGCTGAAGACATACAGACATACAGTACATTAAAAATAATTTTTAGAATTTCTAAAAAAACATTTATTTTTTTTTTGGTGTAGTTAAGGACGTAAAGACTAGGCTATTTTGTAGAATTTGCCTAATAAACATGCTTTCTCATCTTTTGCACAGTTGCATCTTTTTATCCTTTCAAACTCATCAACATTGGGTGGGTGGATGGATGGATGGATGGGTGAATGGATGGGTGGATGGATGGATTAATGGATGGGTGGATGGATGGATGGATGGGTGGATGGATTGATGGGTGGATGGATGGATGGGTGGGTGGGTGGATGGGTGAATGGATGGGTGGATGGATGGATTAATGGATGGGTGGATGGATGGATGGGTGGGTGGGTGGATGGGTGAATGGATGGGTGGATGGATGGATTAATGGATGGGTGGATGGATGGATGGATGGATGGATGGGTGGATGGATGGATGGGTGGATGCGTGGGTGGATGGATGGGTGGGTGGATGGATGGGTGGATGGATGGGTGGATGGATGGATGGATGGGTAGATGGATTGATGGGTGGATGGATGGATGGATGGATGGATGGATGGATGGGTGGATGGATGGATAGGTGGATGTGTGGGTGGATGGATGGATGGATGGATAGATGCATGGATGGGTGGATGGATTGATGGGTGGATGGATGGATGGATGGATGGATGGATGGATGGATGGATGGATGGGTGGATGGATGGATGGGTGGGTGGGTGGATGGGTGAATGGATGGGTGGATGGATGGATTAATGGATGGGTGGATGGATGGATGGGTGGATGCGTGGGTGGATGGATGGGTGGGTGGATGGATGGATGGGTGGATGGATGGGTGGATGGATGGATGGATGGATGGGTAGATGGATTGATGGATGGATGGATGGATGGATGGGTGGATGGATGGATGGATGGATGGATGGATGGGTGGATGGATGGATGGATAGGTGGATGTGTGGGTGGATGGATGGATGGATGGATAGATGCATGGATGGGTGGATGGATTGATGGGTGGATGGATGGATGGATGGATGGGTGGGTGGATGGATGGATGGATGGATGGATGGATGGATGGATGGATGGATGGATGGATGGATGGGTGGATGGATGGATATCTGAAAGGATATCCCACTCTCGTTCCTCTGAAACAGCCACATAGTTTTTATTAATATTTTAAAATTGAGCTTTTTTAATCATTAAAGTTATTTTTTAATCAAGAGCTCTCATTTTTGTAATTTTTCTTAATTTAATTAGTTATTAATTGTTGTTTAGCTATTACAGTATGTATTTTTATTCAAGTTCTCTAATTTTAGTGCTTCAACTTTATTTTACTTCCATAGTTTTCAAAAGTTTTTGCATCCAATTTATTTTATTTAAATATA